GAATCCAAGAGATCTCTACGCTACTCTCTCAATCGCGTCACTGGTGCTAAAGCCAGTGGAGTTTGAGCGAGAGCGCTATTATAAATTATTAGAAAAACAATGTAGTAGACCATTACAGACAAAAATGGTGTTAGAGAATGTTGGTTTAGAATTAGTAGTGAATTATAAATAGATTATTCATTCATCCGTGAATACAAAATAGTTTTATTTACGAGTTTTTTAGTCCCATTGTTCTATTTAGTCTATGCCTATTGAAAATTTACTTACTCCTCATTGGCTTTAACGGTAACCTATAATATTTGTGGTAACGTGTTTTAAAATATAAATAAAATGAGCTTATAATAATTAATTATATTCTGTGGTACAGACTCCATTTCATCAAACTATTAACATCCGGCTGAAACTTCGTAAATAACTTCATCTCATCGTAACCTACAAAAATTTTATTTAAGGAAATTCTCGAAATTAAGGCGTTTTCAAAATGGAGGTCGGCAAACTTTGTCTATTTAATTAGGTACTAAAAATTCGTAAATATCCATTTGCTTTCCACTTTAATCGTAAGATAACTTTAGTACAAAGTCGATTAAAAAGATGGCCTTCAAAAATATTGAGCCATTTAGCGTGACCTTGTCATAATAACAAGGTTATAAGTGCCAAACGGTCCAAAATTTTGAAGGCCACATTTATTCTCGAATTCGTGCTCAAGTTATCTTACGATTAAAGTGGGAAGCAAATGGATATTTACGAGTTTTTAGTATCTAATTAAATAGACAAAACTTGCCGACCTCCAGATTGAAAACACCCCAATTCCGAGAATTTTCGTAAATAAAATATATGCAGGTCATGATAATATGAAACTATTTACGGCGTTTCAGCCGAATGTTAATAAATCGATAAAAAGGGTTCTGTATCACGGACTATTAGCTAATGACTAAAAAAAAAAATGAGGCATAAAGTTTTTAATAGAAAATTGAAGAATTCCTATCCAAAAGCCTCAAGTCTCTCAAAATGGTTTTAAAAACTGATTATCGCATGTTTAAATATTTAAAAAGCTCAAAGCTTTGTGGTGAAGTCATCCTGTTATCTATTATGTTAAAGGGCTAAAATCATTCTTTCACTAAACACTATCAAATCGGATTTTTTTAGGAGAATCGAAAAACCGTTTAAGAAAAATATATGTTCACTGAATCATGAGATACAACAATTAATAGTAACTGTTAGCAAGTGGTCATAAGTACCAAGTATCAAGCAGAAAAAATAAATCACAATTTCTTGTAAAAATAGAACGATTTTCTGAGTAAATAATTAAACGCGTTGATAAAATTGATTCTTGTTTCTCGAGTACGAGGAAGGATAGGATAACCGTCTTGTCTAATTGAAATACCTAGAAGGACATCTTATGACGTTTGTAAATTGATCTATAAGAACATAGATTACTAAACTGGAATCTGCCGATCTCTTATCACCGAGCCTTAAACAGGAGTCGGTTAGTTACATAATTAACTTAATAGAAATCCTGCATGGTTACGACTTGTATCAATATTTCTATAACTTGTCATGAACATAGATACTTCAAATGTCTAGGTTTAAGGTAGAGACCTTAAAGGAGATCCTTTCAAGTTAAAGGATCTTACTCTGAGAACCTTTGTATTAGCAGGGATCTCCAAACTTTTTGGCCCACGAGCCGCATTGAGACCTCGACTAAATTCCGCAGGCCATGAAAAAAAAATATTTTCTATAAATGACACTTAAGCTGTGAAATGAGCTTAGAGAAAAAAAAAAACTTGCAATGGATGTTGTAAATTTACCTCGTGTATGAGTAATTTACTAAATTTCATTTTTTAAAATTAATTTTACCAATTAATCAAAGAAACTTCCTCGGGCCGTAGTTTGGAGACATTTATTAGATAGAGCATGTATATCATGAAGAGGTTCGTATAGATATCATGTTGGACATTTATTTTATTTACTGAAGAAGTGATCTACTGCTTGGCAGCCTACATCTATGATTAGTGCTCCTTAATATCTTCCTCACGATTAATTATAAGCTTCTATTCGATCATCAAGGCTGCCACAAAAAAAATAAAATAAAATAAAGAATGATCTAGATGTTTTTGTTGGTTGGGTCCGATTGTGTACAGATCGTGAACAGTTAGCTGCTGTTCATAAGGCCTCCTCTCTTCATCCTATTCAGATTGGAAGGCCACAAAAAAAACTTCACCTTCCTATCTCCATTCTATATCAAACCCTTTGGTTCGATAACCCCGTGAACGATGAATAAACTCGAGAGTGTTGTTCGCCATGTAAAGAAACCGTCTATTTTCTTCATACATAGACATGGGAATGTAGGAATTTAGTGTAATATGAACCTTACATTATACCGAAAGATACAGTTTTTATATATATTTAAATTAAAAAAAAAAATGAAGTGGCCTCGGATTCAATACTTTGTTAAGGTACTGTTTCAAGGCCATCGATAGTACTGTGAGGTGATCGGGTCGAGATCACCCTCAACCGTCAGTTTTTTCCCCATTATTAATTATTCTAATTAAGTGTACCCAATTTATAAGGACAGGGTATATCCCAAAAAGTTTTCCCGATACCAGAATAGATCCACGGCTAATGCAACAGAATAAATAATTACCTACATCAGCTGGATTCATAAACTGTTTTAACTGTTTTTTTTTTTTGTTTTATTATTATTGAAATTTACAACTGTATGAAATGATAAATACAACAAGTAAATATGAACAAGTAACATCACATGTACCCATTGGTAGCACTCCAATTATATTTCTATATTAGAAGATCCCGAGGCCATCTTCTTTTTAATTGTTTGTTACATTTAGTTTTAGTAGTTAAATTGTTAGATATAACTTAGAGAACTAATCTCTCTTAAATGCGACCAAAACTTAAAAACGTAATGCTTTTTAGATTGATATAAATCTCCGATAGCGTGAATAGAACAGTGGTGATGTTACGTAGAAGTATTACAAACTTTATTACTATTATTAAAGTGATGGAATACATGGTAGTAAATAATAGGTGGAAAAATGACAAATATTGTTAGGTTCAGTTTTTTTTTGTTTTTGTTTTATATCTAATTTATAGATAATAATTATGTTAATTTGGTTTTTAAACAATATTTTAATAAATATGTATGCATCTCTCGTTGTTCATAAATAAATCATTTTTTTTCTTACCATAACCCATTTGATTTCAAGCCGGTGAGGGGTAATAGGTAATACCCCTATAATAAGGATACCGTGTGCCAAGAGAAAATAAAGGATTTAAAATATTAAGTCTTACTAATTATTTAAAAAATTATGTCAATACCGTACTTATGCTAACCTACTCGCTTATTTAAAATTTACGTGTATTTTTTTTTGTGCATGGCCATATCTCCCAGTAGCTCATATGCCACTAAACTTAAAACGTTCAGTAGTTTTGCACATCTCGCAAGATATTTAGAATTGCAACTTGAGCTTTTAAACTTATTTACTTGAGCTCTTAGCTTCACAGATACAGAATAAAGAGGTCCAAATAGGTTATATGGTCTACAAGCTCTGTAGTCCGCAGCCAGACCCGTAGATATTGACTAGTTGATACCTTTGATATTGGCATGTAGTTCGTAGCAATCCATCTGGAAGCTTCTACATAACAATGAATGCCTCAATAGAAGGCAAAAGATAATGTGGAAGGCTAATAAGCAGATGGATAGTATCTATCCATCAACTATTGCATCAACAAAGATGCAACAGAGCTGCGTGCAGATAAATGGAAAGAATGGAACAGGCTTGTTAAGGCAGCAAAAGATCTACATGGTCTGTAATTTCAATAGAAAAAAAAAGTTGATACCTTGGTTGGCAATTACCATTAGCTGTTGAACATTGTAATATTATTTTTTACTTTTGATACAATAATTGTAGTCCTTTGTGAAAAGAATGAATTTCAAGACCAAATATAACATTATCATAATCTAAGACGTGATTTAGAAATAGCTTTTGACTACAGCATAACAGCCTTATTGAGATCTGGCTTTGATCTGTTGATTCTTTATCAATCACTCAGATACTTTTTGTAGCCAATCGAGATGCATCAAAGCTTGCGAAATTCCATCTGCTCATCGTCTTGCCTGATGGGGAACCCATTGGACCTGTCAGTTTGGTATTGTGTTGCACATATTTGTATAATGGACATCTGCTTCGCTTCTTTCTTATTCTCATAAACTTTAAGCTGTATAAAATACTTTGACAAATTGATAAAAATTGTTATTGTTTTTTACTTTGTCATTTTTAACTCATACATTATTTTACTCATCATTTAATTGTGAATAGATACATTTGTAACTTGTACTGGTGCTGTTAGCAAGCATCCATGCCTATTCACTGTGCATCTGGCTATCATCTGGCTGTACAAAGCAGTATCGAATGCACATCAGCGCTTGGTATCCCACCTGCCAATCTGGAATGATAAGACATATTGTTTCTTTCTTCCTTCATCACACCAACTCTACTCTTTGCAAACTTGATTTTTAATTTTAGTTCCGATTGTGGGATCATGCCCATTCTTTTATTTTTTTCATTATTTGATTAAATAATATCTTAAAAAAGGATATTTCATTAGATTAGATGTTTTGGTTGTTTTTAAATTAATTTTTTTATTTTATTTTTTTAAAATAAATTTTTATATTATTAGTTACCATCAAGTCGGTATACTTTCTCATTTTTTATAATAGATATTATATAACCATCATTGTGAAGGATTCAAAATTTTATATTTATTAAATGATGAAGATTTCGTGAATGAATTTCGTGATGAAGTTCGTGTGATAAATTTGCTTCCTGTATGAAGTCATGATAACGATTGATGAACTTATGCAAGCTAGAAAAACTTATACCATAGTAATATTGCTTCGTTAAATATATTATCTTTGTATTCATCTTGTTCTTCTTTTGTATTTAACGATAACTAATTCATTTGTTTTTCTGTGTTTTCAGGATGTCAGAGAAAACAGTAACAGAGGAAAAGCCTGAAATTATCGGGAAGAAGTCCGAGGATAAGAGGGAAATCGAAGATGAGGAAAGGAAGATGATCGGAGGCAGCGAAGAGATCTCGAGGACGGAGGTGGAGAAGAAGAAGAAAGCCTTGGAAGAGGCTGCTGAAGGAGCTGCAAGAAGAAGGGCTCCTATTGGAGGAATAAGGGTCCCCGGTTTCCTCAGGGTATCCAGGTCTAGGGATAAGAATAAGGTATTAAATAATGTATTAAATTTATGTGTTAATGTTTCAATACATGTATTTAGCATTACTACTATTAAACATATTATATGTATAAATACATTAATACATAATGTATTAAATAATAATTTCTTAACTCTACTTATATAATTAAACCAATCTTTTTCTAAGTTGTTTAGTTGTTAAGTTAAGCCGTAAACCCTCTTGGTTATCAACAGATTTTTTTTTAGTTAAAAAGGTTAAGTTAATAGTAGAGCCTATTTACTAAATATGTATACAAGTGTTGAAACTTATAGGGATTAAGTTAGTTTTTTTAAAAATGACCGCTAATATTTGTCCAACTTAAAAAACATTTTATAAATTTCATAGAAGAGTAAAAATAATATTAGATGACACTATATTGCTTATAGTGCTTCATATTTTATAATTATTTTAATTTATTTATCAAACTTATTAATGGTTAGAAAAACTCAAATACGATGGTAAAGTTTAATATCAACGCCAGTGGACTTTTAGATATTTTACCTCTGTCGTACATATGGAGAAAAAGAACTAGTTAAAAAGATGGTATTGTTCAGTTTTTATATCATGTAGTTGCTAACTACGAGTAAACTGTGTTACAGATTTAGTTGTTACCTAGTAAAAATCACTTTTTAACTATTATTTACAGATAAACGGAGATTGTCAAGGGCATAGAGAGGGGGCAGTGGTTCTATAAATATAGAAAAATAAAAAATAAATAGCAACAATGAAACAGTCAATCCATATAAACTAGACCAATGATGGTCTCCATGGTCTCCAACATCTCCAACTTGAAAAAAATAATCTTCCTTTTTAGGGCGAATCTATTTTTGCCACGCACTTGAGGATTTTACATTTATGTTTTACCCGGATTTCATTTCATTTTCACTGAAATTTATCTCCAAGAATAAAACTGTTTATGTTGTATGAAATTAAAATTCATTGATAGTTGTTACTGTCAATTTTAACAGTTCATTAAATTGTTAAATTTAACTTGGACAACTAATCTCTAATGAATGTGACCAAAAGTTAAAAACTTCATGTTTTTTCGATTGATATAAATCTCCGATAGCGTGAATAGAACAGTGGTGATGTTATGTAGAAGCTCACAAACTTTATGTTTATGTTACAAACTTTATTAGTATTATTAAAGTGATGGAATACATGATAGTAAATAATTTGTGTGAAAAACACAAATATTATTAGGTTCAGTTTTATTTTTATCTAATTTATAGATAATAATTATGTTAATTTGGTATTTAAACGATGTTTTAATAAATGTGTATGCATCTCTCGTTGTTCATAAATAAATCAATTTTTTTCTTACCATGACCCATTTGATTTCAAGCCGGTGAGGGGTAATACGTAATACCCCTATAATAAGGATACCGTATGCCAATAGGAAATAAAGGATTTAAAATTATATTTTTATTTCAACATTATAGGAATAAAATGTTACAATACCAAACTATATTATATTTATCAATACAAATAACTATCATTGTATTATTATATGCAGTAGCAAAAACAAGATTTAATCTTTTAGGAGGGAGGAGACTAATATATGTTTATATAGTGTTCTTTGCAATAGGCAGATACAACCCCGAGAATTTTTTTTTTTATAACCTCTAACCAAAACTGCGCTTCAAACTACACCGTATGAAGTTGTAAATTTGAACCATTAGAATTATTTGATAGCCCTGCTACCCTCATAGCTGAAGTAAGCTCAAACCTTCATTTAATAGCTAAGTACATAAGTAGTGAACTTGAAAAGATGTCAATTGTAATTGTTTAAGATCGTTCACGAAAAAAATAGGTTAATATATATATCTATATATATATATCTTAAAACGATCTTAAACAATTACAATTGACATCTTTTCAAGTTATATATATATGTTATATATATATATGTTCAAGTTATATATATATGTATAAATTTTATGAAAAAGAGTTTCAGCCCTTTTATGAGTCTCTTGTATAACAGTCAGTCATATCTTCAAATTATGAGTAAGATACACAGGAGGCCACAAAAATTCTTTGCCACCGATTTTCAAAATTTCTTATTTACACCACTACTAACATTGAGTTGATGTCAGAATTAGAAGTGATCTACTTCGTAACTTTTGTCCATTGTTAAAATATGTTGGCCGAAAAATGATTAAAAAAAAATAGGAAACCCATACAATGTTTTCCCGCAATGATTCATGCTATCGTTATCAGAATTTCCTGGGATTTTTTTATCAAAGATTTCTCAAAGAAACGTGTAGATTCTTGTGAGATTTATGGAAGTTTCTGGGATTTTGTGATATCATGCAGTTAGGAATGGTTAATATTTTTTCCCTTAAACATTGTTTGTGGAATGTTTTGCTGCTTACCATCAGCGTGATGAAACCCTCATGTTCTGGGTTATGGAGAGTGTAGTCCAGCTTTTTCTATTGATTGATCCCGAAGAACTTTTACCCTATAAATCCGAATGGTTTTATTTATAGTCCGTTGTACAGACCTCCTTTTATCGACTTATTAATATCTGCCTAAAATTTCGTAAATAGCTCCACCTCATCCATAACCTACAACTATTTTATTTACGAAAATTCTCGTTTCTAATATGGAGATCGGCAAACTTTGTCTATTTAATTAGGCAGTGAAAACTCGTAAATACGCATTTCACTTATATGATAATCGAAAAATAAGGCCACCTTCAAAAATATTGAGGCGCTTGGCGAGACCTCCACTCCCAAAATGTCAAAATAATGAGGATATATAGGCTGCCTTTTTTCTCTATTTTGTGATCAAATCATCTTACGATCCAAGTAGAAAGCAAGTGGATATTTACGTGGTTTTACTATCAAATTAAATAGACAAAGTTTGCCGATCTCCAGATTAAAAAACGACCCAATTCCAAGAGTTTTCGTAAATATAATAGCTGTATGTTACGATGAGATGAAGCTATTCATGAAGTTTCAGGCGGGAGTTCATAATTTGGTATAAAGAGGTCTGTACCACGGACTTACTTATTACTTTTAATTTGGTTAAAAAAAAAAAGTTCAATTAATGACGTATGGCCCTTGCAGTATTATAAACAGAGCAGTGAGAGCAGATGGAGCCTTGCCAAACCTGTGTTGGTTATTTGTTTCCCGAGGCTTGGCTGTTATGACGGAGTTGTCGAGGGATTGGTAGTTTGCCAAAGCTTAGATTCGGGCGTCGAAATAAATTAGCCACATTAACTATTTTAAACATTTTTTTCTTGTTACAACATCTGTTAATTTATAATAAAAATGATGTAGTATCATATCCGGACTATTTAATAGGAACTAATGGGTTCTATCCCTTCTAAATGTTAGTAAATATTTGGCTACATTTTTGACACGTTTAAAAATATGAAAGAATTATATGAATGTGGATTTATTTTTGTCTTTATTTTTATTTCGTTTGTGTTTCCAACTATCCTAGAATCTTTTGGCACTATTGATTCCAACGATTTATATTTTATATGTTTGTATATAAAATTCATTTACATTGCTTTTATTTTAGTACAGTGCGAGATAAAAGGGTATCCATTTGCCTCTTCCCAGATTTTATATAAAAAACTTTTATAAAAAAAAATTTATTGTTGTGTATTTTAATCTAAAAAATATTTTCAAAGTCGACCAACGAATGTGATTTTTGCACTTCTGTACCCATATGTTATCAAAATTATTTAAAAAGGAATGCTTACTTAAGCTTTTGATCACTTTCCTCTCCTTCAAACTTAATTTTTTTACCAAAGTGCTTTTATTCTTTCAATCCTGGATTATCCATAATTATTTATTTTGTAATTATAGCCGTGGATCGACCTTGGAGTTGTGGAACCTTCATGCCCGGTATAGTTGGTACCAGTAGCGAATCCAGGATTTATTTTAATGATTTTTTATTCGTGTTTTTTAATTAAGGTATTACTCTGAAATAAAACTTGGGTATATGAAATGATGTTTAATTGGTTGAAAAAGAGAAAAAACGGAAATTATGATGTTTTTAGAGATAATTTTTATATTTTTCTTGATACGTGTTTATATTACTAAATAATATAAACTGCATATACAGCTATTATTATGTGCATTATAAAGAGAATATATTGTGATTTTTAACTATTTACCTTTGATCACTAGCGGATCCTTAGCTTTTTTTTCTATCTGTGTATATAAATATATATATATATATATATATATATATATATATATATATATATATATATAAATGAATAAATAAAAATACATTAGAAGCCAGAATTGAGAGATTCGAAAGAAAAGTTTTACGTAGGATAACAGGACCTATATGGGGCCAAAACCTTGACACATGGAGGAGAAGGAAAAATAAAGAACTACTGAAAGAAACGGGTCAGTCAATATCTCATGACATGAAGGCAAGGAGGTTAAGATGGGCAGGGCATGTAGCTCGTAGTAATCCATCAGGACGCCTCTGCACGATAATGAATGTCAGAGTAGTAGGCAAGAGACCACGTGGGAGGCCAAAAACCAGATGAATAAATAGGATAAACAAAGATACGGCTGAGCTCCATGCCGCAAACTGGAAAGCAGTAGCCCAAAATAGGCAGAGGTGGAGAAGGCTGGTTCAGGCGGTCAAAGATTTACAAGGTCTGTAGAGTCAAACGAAAAAAAATAAAATATATATATATATATATATATATATAAGTAACGATTATTATTATCCATAGATTCGCCTAGGGCTTATATCACTCCCATACACACGTATGAACGTATGATAAAAAAGTATTTTTCTATTTTGGAGGGGGCCTTCAGCTCATACAACTGCTTGTGGTGGTTAGGGATGGTTTGTTGTAGAGCGTTATCTCGGCCAAATAATATTTTTATACCGCTGTTGACCAACTTTCCTAACAGAGACCCTCGTTTTTTTTTAATGTATAAGGGAGGCTGATTGGTAGATATCGCCGGTATTAAAATGACGAATCTGTAACTTTATACATATTTTTT